ACGGAGACGTAGGTGCGAGCCCGTGTCGCCCCAACCTTGCTCGTGGCTGTGCACTCGTAAAACCCTTCGTCACCCTTGGACACCGCAGGGATCAACCAGCTGATGTTCCCCAAACTTCTACGAAAAGGGAGAGACCGTGGGTTCACCCCCACCCTGGGGCTGCCGTGCCACCGCTCCGCTCCAAATCCCTGGGAGCTTTTTTTTTTTTCCCCTCCATCTGAGTCAGGCAAAGGAGCACACCCCCACGCCCCACGGACACATCCCTCGGGATTTCCCTCTGCTGCCTTGGGATGCTCAGAACTTGCAGGCACCCAGCCAGCACACAGCATCCCCTCGCCGGCACAGCTCAGGGGGCCGTTGCTGCCCACATGGGGCTATCACGGAGCCCACTGGGCCAAACCAGAGGCTCCCCTGAAGAGCCGCTCGTCCCCAAGCTTCCTCCTACCGCGGCTGAGCTGCAGGCGGAAAGGGATCTCGCTCCGTGCGGAGCAGGAGATCAGCTGTGGCTGACGGCTGTAAGCCTGGATTTTGCTGGAGATGTTCACTTTGGGTAGACCTGGAAGTAGTTGGGGACATGCACACATAGAATACTCCTTGGGAGCTCACCAAGAGCTGCACTGGGAAGGAGGATTAAAAAAATACCCAAGCAGAAAACAAAGCTGAGCGGTGCTGGAGCCTCTGGTCCCTTCTCAGCACCCTTGGGGAGCGTGGGGACCACTCACCGGGGACCACGCTGGTGTAGGTGACCCCGGAGAGGCGGTGCAGGGGGTGGCCTTGGGCATCTTCGCCTTTCACCTTCAGCAGAAAGTCACCCGGGGGGACACGGAGCGGCGAGCCCACCCAGAGCTGCCCTGAGGAGGTGTTGGAGAGGGGTCGTGTGGGCAGCGAGGAGAGGGCATGGCCGGAGGTGTTGAAGAGCTCAATCTCCTGCAAGTGCCCAGGAGGCTTCAGACCGGTGCAGTTCACCACCACGGAGATGGGCAGACCTAGAGAGAGTGAAGGGAAAACACAACCCGGCCACGTTCCCGGCTGCAAGAAGCCCAGATGCAGCATCCGTGCCCCCGGGCAGCCCCAGCCTCACCCTGCACCGGCCGCTCTCCGGGCTGGCTGGCATCAAAGTCTGGCTGGGTGGAGAAGCTGGCTTGAAAATTAATGTTGCTGATGCCCGTGATCCTCAGTGAGTGACGGCCACTGCTCTGGGTCTGGAAGCAGAGCGAGAGGTGTGAGTCAAGGGCAAGGGAAGGGAGAGGTGATGGGGAAAGGAGGAGGTGGCTGCCAGTCCCTTCCAGCCCGTTCACGGCTCCTCTGCCCAGCTGGAGGTTGATGGGGGAAAACTCACGCCTGGCAAAGCCTGGCCAGGGAAATATTCATCAGGGTAGGAGACAGCGTGCAGGGTCTGCCACCAGCCTACCGTGACCGACCACGTCCCTGGCTCGTGGGGCTCCACAGCCACCACCACGGCTGAGTTGGGGATGCTGAGCAGTTCCTTCAGACCTTGGCCTTTCTTGAGGACCTTTCCTGCAACAGCAGTGAACCTCTGCGATGGGTGACCCAGGACCATCCCCCAGTCCCAGCAGCTGGCCAGGAGCCCCCTCCCTCAGCTCATTGCTTTTTTATTCAAATTTTCAGTGCAGGGTTTGGCAATCCCCATCCCTGCAGCCTCTCATTTCTCCCAACATGAGGGCTCTCCAGGAGGCAAAGCATCACCCCATGCCCATTTCCCTCCCCTGGGCTCCTACCTGCCGGATCCCGGACCTCGATCCCCGGGGCAGGGCCACTCAGGGAGATGGTGACCTCCTTCAGGCTTGGGTCAAAGGGGACGGGCCACATGTGCTCCCCGCCGTCCTCGTGGTCCGTGGACAGCAAGTGGACCTTGGAGGCCTGGATGGCCTCTTCTACCCACTTCAGCACCTGGGGGCATGCCGGGGAGGATTAACCCGGATCCCCCCTCGCCACAAGGCACAGGCATTTCGGGGCCATTTCGGGAGCGGGGCTGTATTGCCCCAGGTCAAAATCTCAGGCACGGCTGCGAAACAGCACCCGGGCAAGGGACCAGCCCCAGCTGTTTTTTGGGTGCCAGCACAGGGACGGGTGGGCAGGAGGTGACAGCCCTGGCTGAGCCCCCCCCTTGCTAGGAGCAGGTGCAAAAGGAATTGAGTAATTCGGTGCAGTTGTTATTGCCAGGTGGATCCTGCCCAGCTGCTCGGAGCAGGGATGTAATTACCCCCCAGCTCGCTCGTGGGAATAGAAACCATTAAAACACACAACTGCTGGCAGCTGGGCAGGGGCTGTTGCTGGGGGTCTTCTGGGAGATGCTGCCCAGTAAGAGCACTTTGATCTTCCTCAGGTCTCCAAGATTTCATGCTGGTCAAGAGCTTCAAGGACAGGGACAGGCAGAGAGGTTCCTCTCCC